TATTTTTGAGAACGTCTGTTTTTTGGATTGGCAAAGGGATCAGCAGAAAGAGTTTTATATTTTTATTATATTGTATAATATAATAAGTACAATAAAGTTAAAAATTGTTATAATAAAACTTTTAAATTTAAATATATTTTAATTAAGGATTTTATTTTATTGTATCAACTATTTTAAAAATTCTTGAATTTCTAAATAGAAACTTACTTATAAAAAAAAATAAGGCTCTAAAAAGTATTAAACTAATATTAAACTAATACTATCTATAATAAATTAATATATAGGTTATAACTTACTTATATAAATTTATAATAAAATTAAATATCAAACTAATATTGAATTAATATTAAAGTAATATTATTAAGAATTCTAATAAAAGTATAAAACAATTTTTTTAATATAAATTATTATAAAAAAATTTTTTTAACAAAATATATACAATTAGAAGAAAGTTTATATTTAATTAATTTATATATTGAAATAATTTTAATAATTAATATTATTGTTTTTTTATAATTGATAAAAGAATTTTAAATTTTAAAAATTTATTTCTTTTTAATTATAATTTAATATTTAATATATTTAAAAAACTTATATATATATTTTTATTCTTTATATTTCTAAATAAATACATGTTTATTTTATTTTAATTATTTAATTTTTTTTTTTACCTAATTAGATTATATCTTCAAGTTTATTAATTCAATTCTGTGACTGTAATACCTTAGTACACTACATATGATATTATTCATACCTATACTACAGATTAAACTTCTATTCAATATGATATACTTGTCAGCAACCAATGGTCGCTAGATGTAATTAAGGGAGATGAACAAGTTGCTTAATTAAAGAAAACCATTCCTTGTTATTCTAAAATCTCAAAGCCAACCCTTCATCAGGACTGTCATCCTGGCTTAATCTCTATGGTCCTAAGGCGAAAAAATTTTTATTTTTTTAAGAAGAAAAAGGGGAAGATAAAAGGGGAAGAAAAAAAGTTTGTACTAATAAAATAAATACCAATCACCAACCTAATAAGAGCCTTCTTTGATCTTAAGGAGAAAAGAAACTGGTGCAAGAAGGGAGGAAGAAGACTTTCAAATACTTCTTATCAAGAGGACATCTCGATACCTTGCTTTTTCACTTTATTCAATTACATCATCAGTTATACTGTAGTATAACATAGGGCATGTGCGGGTATATGTCTTGTTTATATTTCTTTTACTTGTTGATCAACCAATCCAAGATTTCAACCAATTACCATCCAGAGTTTTCGGTGTAATAAAAAATTCAGGATCAAACTGAAATAGGCGAAATTCTTCAGAAAAATTAAAAAAAATTGAATATGCTTGAAAGTGCCAACTATCAGATATGTATAAATGGTAGAAAGGTTCATATACCTAGATTTTTTCAGCTTATTCACCTGCCTAGACCAAAGGAGTTTATTTACAGTAGATCCAAGGTTCTTATATTACTTGGGGATGCATTCACTGATCAGCCCAACTAGCTTATCCACCTGTCTTGACAAGAGGTGTTCACTTACAGTGGATCCAAGGTTCTTATGGCTCTTGGGAAATGCATTCACTAGTGATTTACTTTCTGAAATTCCTGACCTAAGGAGAAAGTAGTGGAGGGTATTTTTTTACAAGTTTCTTCTTTCTAGTAAAATGTTCTTGCCGTAGACCAAATGAATAAGGTTTTTGTTTATTTTGTCACTGAAATATTCAAAGTTTTTTGAAGAAGGAAGAGTAAACAAGTAGGAGAGGCACCTGCCTTTAGGGAGTAATGTTTATAAGGAAAGTGTGTAGACTTTATTATCAAAAATAAAGAAATATTTTTGAGAACATCTGTTTTTTGGGTTGGCAAAGGAATCAGCGGAAAGAGTTTTTTTTTTTTAAAATTTTATTTTAATTATTTAATTATTTATTAAATTATTAATAAAAATATATATTTTGTTTTTTTTTTCAATTATTTATTTATATTATATTTTTTTTGAAAAATAAAATTTATATTCAGCTTGCAAAATATATACAATATATACTGTATATTTCAAAAAATATATTATTTTTATCTTATTTATCATAAAAAAACATATAAAAACATATATAAAAAAGTTTAATTTTATTTTTTAATTTTTTTTATTGTAAAAAAATAAATATTAAATATAAGATTTTATTTAAATAAAAATTTATTGTTATTATATTAACAATCTTTACAGAAGTAAATTAATTGTAGCCAATCATAAAAAAAAGTTTAATTTTATGAAAATCAAGTTATAAAATTAATATATAATATAAAAATTTTATTTAAAAATAATTATTAAAAAAAAATTTATAATATAATTTATAAATTAGTTATAAGTAAAAATAATTTTATACTTCATTTGTGAGTTTATCGGATTTTCTATAAATGTCATATTTCAAACATTCAAATCCTAATCAAATTTAGTTAGGCTGCATGAAAATGGAACCTCTGATCTTTCTGACAATTATAGGTTAAAAACAAGTCGAAGCAGAAAAGGCTATATAAGAAAAGGCTTCTGGTCTAATTTCGATAAAAGCCTACAACTTCTTCTGGCATGGCAAACTCCATAACACAAAGAATACTCTAGCTTGGGACTATTTCAATTCAGCACTTGCTTAAAAGAAAAGAACTTAATAAAAAGAAAAATCTGAAGCCACAGGTGATAACAAAGAATATAGTACCTTTTTCAAGAAACCAGGCAAAAAGTATTGAATGGATTATTTAGGTATTTTAATCAATCCTAAAAGATATATGCTCCAAATAACTATTGTCAGATCTAAATTAAGTTAGATAGTTTAAAACTAGTGGCAGAATTTCTATCTTTTAAAGATCCCACCTGATATGCAGATCTACTTTCTAAATAGTGTTATACTTGATTTTCACTTAATGATCTTCACTATCCCTTGTTCATTTTTTAGTAGCATTTACTCTTGTAATATTGTCCATTCTAGAATAATCTTGTATTACAGATCTGTTATTGCACCTTTGGCACCTATGACACATATTGCACCTATTGCATCTTTACCATTTCTAGAATATTCCTATTTTATTTTATCTTTACTTTTTATATTATCTTTGCCAGAGTATTTATCTCTACCAATGCAAGTATAGTTAACTATTTTGATGAAGATACCATCTCTTCCATAGCTATCATTTTTACCATAGTATATACTTATCCTGTACCAAATTATATACTAAAAATATGTATATAAATGTCTTCAATTTCTCCTGGAATTGCAAGGTTGAACTTTTTTCTTTATTAATAAAATAACTTGACCTTTACAAAACAAATCACTATTGCCTCTTTCGCTTGATCTCATATATCTCAAAACTGTACTAATTTTAGTACACCCTTATGAACTTTAGTATATCACATTGGTCCATCCATACAAAATGTCTCCCTGCTATTAGTTCTTCATCCATATCTTTCTCCTGAGATAGGAAGATATATGACAAATTGGTGGTAACTGTGAGATGCACCTCATTCGTTAGACACAAGTTTGACAATCAGATCTCAAAAATGGAACGCTCTTTGATTTCTACCCTAAGAAATTGACCCCGAGGAAGTTCAATATTCACAGGAGCAATAGAAGTGACATTGTGTCTGTGACAATCCAAGAAGCAATGACCAATTCTGCTCCAACAACGATGTCCAAGAAGAATTCGGCTGCTGGTATATGCCGAATAAAAGAAGAAGCATCATCCCGACCTAAAAGAAGTCCAAATCCAATGATAGAAGCTTTGGAATGGCTTGCGCAGAAGAAAAGCGAAGCCTAAAGAATGACGATCATGGGATCAGCGGTATATGTACCTCTCCCTAAAAAATTAAAATACAAAAAAATGATGAATGAATAATGCCGTAACAATGGGAATTCGCTGCCCCTGCCCAAAGAAGAAACAAAGAACAAAAAAAGACCCCGGACCAAGAAGATATTTACCTCTCAGCAAGGATACTGCTGGGATGCAGTACGATCGCAAGAAGATCGCTGCTTCTTAGTGCAAGGAAGAAGAAATGGCAGATTAGTATTGGCCGTTTCCTTAAATATATATATATATTGAAAATGATTAAAAACTTAACAATAAAATGAAGCAAACATCAAAAACATCACGAGAATGGAATAAATTCACTTCCCACCATAACTACTTGTCCTACCTGCAGAAACATGGTTGCTACAATCATCAACGAAGTTCCCTGGATCTAGTGTTACAAATTGTTAATTGGAAAGTTTGAAATTAATCAATCAGAGTATAGGGATTTTTAGTTGCAACTAGTTGATTATAATTAAAACAACTAATCGATTGAAAAAATTTTAACCAACTAAAATCACTACCCAGATTCATAACATCGCCACGACCTAGAATGATGAAGAAAGTGATGACGTTGAGTTAGTATTAATTGTTCACAAAAAAATCTTACCTCAGATTAGATGGCACTGGTTTTATGGAATACAGTTTGGATAAAGTAGTCCTTACTATGGTGCCTCCAACCTTGGGACATCCTTCTTAAGCCCATGAATAGCCTTGGGAGCGTACAACTTAGCGCCCAAGCTCGTGCTTCTATTGTAGAGAAAAGTTTAAGGTTACGATCACAATCAGAAATGAAAAGAGAGAAAAGAGAATACTTGCCTCTTAACAAGTCGTCGGTCTTGAGGGTCATACCGGGATACCAATGATCACGAAAGTCATGACACCAAAAAAAGCAAGGGACAAGTTCCTAAAAGGAAGAAGGACTGTCCAGTAAAAAGAAAAGAATAGTAAAGAAACCAAAGGCAAAGAACTAAAACTTACTGACGAGATTTCAGTAGCCAAGCCAGGGACGTTGATATTGCTGAGGGTTAAAAAGAACCTGTGGATGGTGAATCAGATATCAAGAGCATGGGGCTAGGGAAAGATTGGTAAGAAAAAGTTTGAAGCCAATAGTAGATTGCCAAGAAAAAAAAAAAAGAAAGAAAGAAAATGCCATGACTTACCGAATTGCACCAAAACCGACGACTAGAAATGCCAAAATGCCATTATGATCATGATCACAATCACTCTCTAATCACGAAAAGATCTATACACCGCGAATGACAAAGCACACCACGACCAAGGCTCCGACAGAAAGAAGAAAAAAAAGACAAGAATGATGATAACCCCAAAGATCAAATACCGGGATGCTGCTATAATCATGATTACAATTGCATATCCTCTCCACAGAGGTCATCGATCATTATAGATTCCAAGAGAACCAATGGAGTTTCCTTTACACTCAAAGATGAAAAGATTGATGACCAAATCAGCAAAAAGTGTATTCTTTGCTCGTGTTTCTGTATGGACATCAAGGTAGTGGGACACTGTCAATAATTAAAGAGTAAGATGGTGGATTTCTGAACTCAGTAACACCTAAAGCTAGTGACCTAATGCTTGAAAGCCTTCATTTTTATAAAAGTGAGGATGAGTTTGATTCAATTAACCTAGGAGAATCCACCTGCAATGGCATGACAGCTTCGATGTGAATGCTGGAAAGCTGTCATGGCTGTAATCATAGTCACGATCACGATCACGATCGCATGCCCCCCAGAAATCACAACGCAATGGCATAACCTATCAAATAAACAAGAACTCTGTTAGCATATACTTCGATGCCATAAAACTCCCATTAGCATTTATCTACTTTGATAGTATATACTGTATTTCCTCCGAGAAATTGACCACGCCATAATTAAATTGTGTTAATCCCCATCTCTTTATAAAAAATATATAAAAGACAAAAGTGAAGTGAATAATTATCTTATCCCTTTTAATTATCCTTACTCTTTTTACAATTCTTTTATGATTTCTTTATTATTCCTTTGATTATTCCCATACTCTATTAGTATTTAGTAACACATATCATTTTATTTCTTTATTTTTAAGACTTGAGAAAATATTATTGATTGCTTAGGTAATTTTATAAAGCCATTACATAGCTGTAGATGATCTTGATTCTTAGGAATCCATAGTATATGCTGGTTAAAGGCTGGTCAGTCATGAAGCACAAAATTGTAACAGAATAATGTTTGAGGCTACTGCATTTTATGAAATTATCAAAGTGATTAATACTATTCTTTCAATTCATTTTATACGAATAATATACTCATTTTTATTTATTTACAAACATTTTTTAATTTTATTAAAATTTTATTATTTTATTATTATTATTATTACTTTTACATTTTTAATAAGTAACATTGAAATATTGAGATATCCTTTAGCTACTGTATGAAATACAGCACCCAGGCTATATGATGTGAACATAGATATCATAATAGCCCAGTCCTCAACTTGCCCAAACACAAGTATCATTGAACCCTTGAAGTGAAGAAAGGAATCTGAAAACTAAGATGCAAGCAAGAAATATAGTGCAATAAAGAGGACCCACTAAGCTCTCCTCTTTTATTACAGCTGGCTCACAAAGCATACTCAATGACTATTGTATTTCTTGTAATGAATTCATGAAGCTAGGTTAAACAAAACAAAACATCAAGGTCAAAAAGGCAAATCTCTAATTGAATTCAAAAGTAAAAAAGACCGATTAAAAAAAGCTGGTATAAGATTTTCTAATAAAACAAAAAAATATGACAGCAAGATAACTGGCCAGAACCCTAGCTCCAATTATTTGCCACCGGCCAGAACCCTAGCTCCAGTGTGTCATTTTTCTTATCAGTAGCAACCGTTTCACCCAAAAATAATTCTTTATTTAAAAACAAAATTCTTACACATTATTATTATTGTTATTATTATTTCTTCTTTCTTGTTCTTCTTGA